CACACACACACACACACACACACACACACACACACACACACACCACACAAACTTAGAAACACTTTCATGCATGCGAGATGGTGCTCTTCCTCTTCTGTAATTAGTGTTTAAACACAAGCTTCACCAAGCAGCCGCTGGTAAGGAAGTTTCCCCAAAAACAAAACTTCTCACACTCCTTCAGCTACACAAAAACACACGAGACGTTTGGTTAAATCCAGATGGAAAAGGAAGAGTTTTACACAGTTTTGTCTTTTTTTTTTTTGTCAAATGTTTGTTTGCGCAGAAAACATACTCACATAGATTATCAGTTTTTATCTACTAAGGATTTGGCTAAAAACTACTGAGTTATTTATCTTGTTTAACARATGCTTCATTGAAGGAATGGTTTGGTTTATTTGAAGTGGGGTTTTGTGAAAATGTAACRAACTAATAACATCTTACCTGTTGCAGATAGCTCTTAGAACAACCTCAGTTTGAAGAATTAAAGTTAAATTTTGACCAAATTGATTAGCTAACTACTAGCCTGGTTGAGGCTGAGACCAAGAAGACCAACGATGCCCCAAAACAACTATAATCTCAAAGCTTTTCATGTTTTTTCAACCTGTCAGTTTCATTTTTGTGTGCCTTGCCCCCATAAAAAACATTCCTTCATTCCTGCATGAACTGTACYGGGCTGCAATGAAAGCGCTACAGCAAGCTGCTGCTGCAATCTGTATTGACTAATAATGAATCGGACAGTGCTCGAACTAGCCATTAGCTCATCAGTCTGGTCAAAATAAACCTTCTGCAGTTTTTCAGGGTTAAAACTCTCGATGGACAAGTTCCCTGCAGGACGTACAGTAATCCAGTCTGTACCCGTGTGGACGCCGGCTCATAAAACGTGCACTGAGCCAGCTGGGTGGTCCCTTCTCTACCTAATAATCCCTCTCTTTGAGGAACATGTCCATCATTTCACCACAAAAAAATGACCTATTTACGTTTTTAACTTCAGATGTTCGTAAAATTTTCACTAAAGTGGTACTATTAGTTAAATCAGCAAAATTGAGTTTGTATTGTTCAGATGTAAAATAATCTCTCTCTTTTTTTTTTATTCCGGTCACGTTACCATTCTGCTCCTGTGTTTTGAAGCTCAGTCTGAACCGATGTGGCCAGAAATAAATTCAAACTAACCGTGTTGATTTAGTTTTAAATGTTTGAAAATCCTTGACATTTTGCTCTTATTTCCAACGTTTCGAGGGTTCAAATCTGGGTTCCTCCTCAGCACACATGGCTGCACGACAACAGTTTCTGCTGCACAGCAAACAGAACGGCRACCTTTGGAACAGCCGATGTGTTTTTGTCTGTTTTCCCTCCGCGGAGATGATGACGGCGCTTTTAACAAAAAAAAAAGCACTCTGAATATTTTGACCTTAAATCGCTGCTCATCCATTTTTCACACCTCCCTTGCACTTTCTCGCTTCCGCCTACCTCCATCCTCACACTCGCTTCGCACGCATTACAAAAAAAAAAAAAAGCTTACACAAACACCATCACTATGGAAACTACAAGCTCAGGCTCCTTGAGGATTTGGAGAGATGTTCCACACTCATCGTTTTGTGTTTCCTCCAGGGTGAAGCCGGGCAAAGATACGGGTGTGTGTCTGGGTTTTAGGGACTGGTATTCCCTACGTTGTGGGACAGGTTTTTTTTTGGCACACACACCTTGTGGAGACCWAATGTTACTTATGGGGRCCTGAGTCCAGTCCCCTTAAGGGGAAACACCATTGGTGGGTTTTGGGGTTTGGTTTAGGACCAAGGTGTGCATTGAGTTTAGGTTAGTTTTAGGGTCAGGTGACCTGTTGGTTTTCAGGGTTAGGCTGTAGAAAATAATGGAAGTCAATGCCAGGTCCCCATAGAGATAGCTGCAGCAGATTGTGGGTGTGTGTGTGTCTGGGTTTTAGGTGCGTGTGTTTGTGTGTGTTTGACTGGCTTGGCGACAGGACTCGGACACAGGAATGCCGGACAGGATGCAGGAAGAAAATTCCAGAAGCAGTCAAGCCGACTCAAAACACCCTCCAAGGTGCCTCTAAACACAAGCCCGAGAGAAAACAGCATCTCTAGTCTGATTTTCACACCTCTGGTGTCTCTAAATTACACTCTGGACTTGGGAAACGTTGCATTGTGCCTCCATATCAAAGCAAAACTCACAACTAGGATCGCTGCTCAGTATAATTTGTGGCGCGTTAACATATGGGAAGCTGTTAAATGAAATTGTCTTTGGCACGGTGTGTGTGTGTGTTATTGTCTGGACTCCACTTCCTTTCTGTTTTGACGTGAACGGCGCAGCTCCTCGAGGACTGGATCAGGCGTAAACACGGGAACAATCGTTGTATATCCTCAGGACAAACACCACAAACCAGCACAGCTCAAGTGCTGTGGGTGAAACAAGCGTGGGYCGTGGTTATTTTCATGAGAGGAAGGGAGAAGGGAAAAAAATCTCCTAAATACCAGGAACATGATTCCAAATGTAGCTGGGAAAGCCATAGCTGTCACTGCTTTGTTATTAGGGAATAAAAGATGCTGCTTTGAAGGTTAAGTGGTTTCTGTTATGAGYTTTAAACAACTGGGTGAAGAGCATATTTATTGCTCACAAATATTTCAAATTGCGTGCCTTGAGCCTCCAGGAGACCAGCAGCAGCTCAGTGGACATCCTTGTTTTGTTGTATCAAATAAAAGAAAAGCTCAGCAGGTTCTCCTGGACGGGAAACATGCTCCTTGTTCATTATGTACTGAGGCCGAGCGTCAGACTCAGACAGAAACAGCCTCGGGGGTAAACATCCAGAACGGGCGCAGCGAGGGGCACAGATGTCTCTGACTGGAGCGTCTGCTCGAGTGCTTAGAGGGAACCTACACACGCAGGCACAGAGAGCGTGGCAAGAGAAACTGAGAGCAGACACCAACAAGTGGCTGATGAAGAGCGAGACCCATAATGTCTAACAGACAGAGATGAAAGGAGGAAAATCCCACAAAGGGATCCGCTTTATTCTGCTATTTCCTGTTTGTTGTGGCGCAATGTGAGTTATTTGTTGAGGGTTTTTTTTTTTTTTGAACAGCTGAGTTTCTCCTGTAGTTTTTTTTTTTGGTCAAACCTGCAGACTGAATCCTGCTGATTTGATCATTAACACAGATGTGTCCGGAGCCAGAATGTTCTAGTATTTATTTTAAAGGCGGTTGTTACTCGGGGGGGAAAGGTATCAGCTGTTTACAAGCTAAAAAAACAACAACAAGATATTTAAACATCAGACTAAAAAGCAGAGGAGGACGGGTTCCAGTGAATGATAAGTTTAGGCTGCAAATTGAAAGTCAATTCAAACAAACAAACAAAAAAGATAAAATCTAAAAAAAACCCTGATTTAATAGCAGTGAAAATAAACTGAAATTATTAAAGGGCCAATATTATGTGTTTCTCATGCATATATTTAAATACTATACC